AGAAGAGATTCAGAGCAGCCCTGCGGAGAAGGACTTGGGGGTGTTGGTTGATGAGAAAATGAAGATGAGCTGGCAGTGTGCGCTTGCAGCCACGGAAGCCAACCGCATCCTGGGCTGCATCAAAAGGAGTGTGACCAGCAGGTCGAAGGAGGTGATCCTGCCCCTCTACTCTGCTCTTGTGAGACCTCACCTGGAGTATTGTGTGCAGTTCTGGTGTCCTCAACATAAAAAGGACATGGAACTGTTGGAACAAGAGGAACAAGTTCGGAGAAGAGGAGGGCCACAGGGATGATCAGGGGACTGGAGCACCTCCCGTATGAAGACAGGCTGAGAAAGTTGGGGCTGTTCAGCCTGGAGAAGAGAAGGCTGCGTGGAGACCTCATAGCAGCCTTCCAGTATCTGAAGGGGCCTATGTGGACGCTGGGGAGGGACTCTTCATTAGGGACTGTAGTGACAGGACAAGGGGTAATGGCTTAAAACTTAAACAGGGGAAGTTTAGATTGGATATAAGGAGGAAATTCTTTCCTGTAAGGGTGGTGAGGCACTGGAATGGGTTGCCCAAGGAAGTTGTGAATGCTCCATCCCTGGCCGTGTTCAAGGCCAGGTTGGACAGAACCTTGGGTGACATGGTTTAGTGTGAGGTGTCCCTGCCCATGGCAGGGGAGTTGGAACTAGATGATCTTAAGGTCCTTTCCAACCCTAACTATTCTATGATTTCATGATTCTATGATTCTATCATATGGTATGCACAGGACAATCCCATGCAATGCTAAAGGCTTGGGAAGAGTGGCTGGAAAGCTGCTTAGTGGAAAAGGACCTGTGGGTGTTGGTTAACAGTTGTCCAAGTGTGAGCTAGCAGCACGCCCAGGCAGTCAAGAAGGCCAACAGCATCCTAGTTTGTATCACAAATAGTGTGGCCAGCAGGACCAGGGAAAGGACTGCCCCCCTGCACCTCAAATACTGTGCTCACTTCTGGGTCCCTCACTACAAGAAAGACATTGAGGTGCTGGAGCTCATCCAAAGAAGAGCAATGATGCTGGTCAAATGTCTAGACAACAAGTCCTACAAGGAGTGGCTGAGGGAACTCGGGTTTTTTAGCCTGGAGAAAAGGCGGCTCTGGGGAGACCTTATCACTCTCTACAGCTACCTGAAAGGAGGTTGTAGTGAGGTGGGTGCTGGTCTCTTCTCTCAGGTAAGAAACAATAGGACAAGAGGAAATATCCAAAGATTGCAAATGGGGAGGTTTAAACTGGATATGAGCAAGCTGGGCCTGTTTAGCCTGGAGAAGAGATGGCTGAGAAGGTATCTTATCAATGCATATTCATGTCTTGAGGGCAGGTTATCAAAAGGATGGGGCCAGACTCTTTCCAGTGGTGCCCAGTGACAGGATAAGGGGCAGCCGGCAAGAAAATGAAACACAGGAAGTTAAAACTGAGTATGAGGAAGAACTTCCCTACTTTGAGGGTGACAAAGCACTGGTGACAAAGCCCAGAGGTTGTGGAGTCTCCTCTAAAGATGTTCACAACTCGCCTGGATGCGACCCTATGCAGCCTGCTCTAGTTGAACCTACTTGAGCAGGGCGTTGGACTAGAGGTCCCTTCCAAACCAAACCGTTCTGTGATTCCATGATCCAGTCATTAAAGCAAATAAGGGAAGTTTGTAAAGCCTGACAAGTAAGTAACTGTGACAGAAGACTGGGCACACAGAAGGGATTAACCAAGGCCCAGAGCAGCTGTGCTACCTGTTCTAGTGTAAGCCATAGTGTTACCAACAGAAACATAGTAGATCTTATGTTCTGGTTTTAAAAGATATGGATTACCTGTATAAGTTATGACAGTATTTCAAAACAAAACAGGATCATGAGTGAAGAAATTATTTGTAAGGGTTTGACAAAATTAAGGAAACCCTACCTGTGGTGACAACACTGTTTTTAACTGTATATAATAGAAATGATAATATTGTAGGACCAGAGGCAATGGGAACAAACTGAAACACAGCACGTTTGCAGGACATCACAAAATGCTTTTTCACCTTGAAGGTGACTGAGCTCTAACAGAGGTTGCAGAGAGGTTGTGGAGTGTCCGTTCTCAGAGATATTAAAAAAAACATCTCTGACATGGTCCTGGGCAACTTGAGGTGACCCTCTTGAGCTGGGGGTTGGACCAGATGACCTCCATGGTTCACTTCCAACCTCAGCCCTTCTGTGATTCTATGAGTTAACGGCTATTACTGCAGGAATGTCTCTGGCAAATGAACTGACATCAGCCTAAATTCAGCTGTGAGATAACACACAGACACAGACATAGACTATAGACAGACATAGTAATACACAGATATCCCATATCTCTTTTCTCTTGGAGAGGGAAATCTTGTTCAGAAGGGATATAACCTTGGATTCTTGACATTGTTAACTCTAAGATATTCTGCATATAACTTTTTACATGCTCAATAGATTTAAAGTATTAATAGCCTATTGACCAAGGTGAAAACTGAAAAGAACTTGCCACTTTTACTTCTACCACCTAAGGAAAAATACTGATTCCAGACTACATATAAAAAGATCTATGGAGGTTTCCTGGTACAGGATGAGTTGTAATTTTATACCTCATAATTTTTTTTAATCCAAGGCATTAAATAATGATATGAGGTTGCAGAAAGGACTTCAGGTTTGAATTGTTATAGTAAGAGAAATTTCTTCGTAAGCAGTCAAGTGTCTTCAGAATACAGCTGAGTGAGTCAGCAAACCTATTTTTATTTGCTCACTTTCCCTTCATAATGGCATTGGCTAAGCACTGTCTGTGTTACTAGTGTTATCTCTTGGTCACCGAAGAGAATTAGATAACTTTATACCAGAGGATCGAAAAGGATGAAAGAGCTAGGAAAGAATCACTCAAGCAGGTCATTTTTTCCCATAAGAGACTACCTTTAGAAGTGTGTGGGCATGCCTGGTGCACAGTCTGCCTCATATATTCTGGGATTCTTCTGACATCAAAATAACGCTAATTGCAAAAAACCCCTAAAATTGCTATTAATAGCAACATGATTTATTTTCATGCAGTTTGCTCTTTTTCTTTCAGTCCATCATAAAGTTATTCTTGAAAGATTTCAGGTAGAAAAGAAAAACCCACACTTAATTTTTGCATTCTTTTTGCAACTACAATTTCTTGGGGGAGCTAAAAAAAATTAAAGTCTCCCTTGGGAATAACTTCTTCTTTTAAGAGTTTTTGATCTTTTATTTCAGTCATTTTATATCCAGAAGACTGAACCAGTGGAAAGGAGAGGTCAAAAGGTGGAAACATCAATGGTTATATAATCCCTGAAAAGGATTATTCCCCTCACAAAAAATGGCTCGTACACCATGTGAAATTAAGGACATTTATTCTGTGTTTGCACATCACTTGCAATGGAATCGATGAATCTTTAGAAAAACAGAGCAACCTGAGAACAACTGAGCTTTTCCCATGGTATCAGTGAGATAGCATGAAAGTTTGAATCAGTTTTTCTAACCTGGCACTTGCCAAATTGCTCTGTGGAGCTTTGCTTCCTCTCTCTGTTCGCTTTTGCCAACTAAAGAATGACAGGTATACAGATTTATTAGAAATGGGAGAAGGGATTTTAGCACTCCTATTAGTTCTGGCAAAATGCATGCATTGTTTTCTCATTTGGACCAGGGTTACACCCATTCCCAGATGGAGAAAAAACACATTTATTGTGTTTCTGTGCCAGGATTACATAATCTGATGTGGTCTACAACATGAGAATAATAAAAATATAATGATTTTCAGGCACAGTGTATACATAGCACTTTACAGGACTAAAATCACTGGACAAATACTTTGTTACTCATTTCATCTGTCACTGAATGCAACAGTCAAAGGCATTTTATAAGTTTGGCGGAAAACGGTTCTCAAAAAAATGACATGCCTCTGAAGATCTACTGAATGCGCCAACTCAACTCCCAGTAAAACTTTATGGGAAAAATCCCCAATTTATTAGTGCCATGGATAACATTTCAAAATGAATGCGTAATTAAATTGATATTTACCTATCACATACAAATGTCCAACTGCTTAAAACCAAACAGGGTATCTGCTGAGACATAACTTTGACAACTGCCCTTCTGCATATGTGTGTTTTCATAGTAAATGAGAAAAATTCCCACAGAGTTAATTTAAAATCAATGAATTGCATTCATAAAATAGGATTAGATAGTACTTTCACCCAACCAAACCAGTTTACCATCAGGAAAGCAATAAAGAAATTGCCCTAAAAAGTAAACCAGGCTCAACTGTTATCTTGAATGTTACTGATTTGTTCTATATTTAGAAATATTTGTAAAAACTAGTAAATGAGCGCTTAATTTTTTCTCAATTCTTCACAAATAATGCAAGAGAGAAAAATGGATCTATGGGATATAACTGAAAAGTAGGATTACTTGGAATAGAGTGCCTTGATTAAGCTTTTCCTTTGTCACTGGTCATATTTAATCATAATGACATATTTTAATAATGTCTTATTTTTTTTTAAAGCAGATGGTAAGATGACCTGTGTTGCTGTTACATCATTTATATCTTCTTCTGCTCTTGCCTGGTTTCTCTTAAGAGACAGAATGTCAACCAGTTTCTGCAGTGACAGAACAATATGGTTTCATTTGATTGTCACTGGTGACACTTTTAGCTCATTTTTCACTGCTCTGTCAACCCAGATTCATAAAGAAGCTGCTTTTCTTCATCTGGATATTGGTTTTCAGCTGCAATTTTTCATACTTGACTTGACCAATGTGATTTTTCCTGCTGTATGCTGACTTTTGCTATGATATGACTATCTGTATTAATTCAGAGAACTTAAAATACTATCTCAAATTTGACTGTAGATAGCTCTGTGAAAACAGAGTTATTCCGTTACCAGGAGCATTTAGATACATTTTTATTACCAATTTGCTGTCATCCGTAGGGTTTTTCTGAATTGAAAAAGAATACATACCAGGTTAATATTCCTACCTTCCAACTCCCGGCTGCCAAGTTCTGCAGTGCCCCTGCTGCCCCCTCCAGCGTGTCTGGATTTGAGCACTCAGAAAGAAGTGTGAGGTAGGGTTTGACTATTGAAGGGTGCCACAGCATCTGGATTCCTTTGGGTGGTTCTGCACAGTCTGGAAGAGGTCCTACGCCATCCCACTGTTGGAAAGTACAAATCAAATTGTCAGCAAGGAAAAGAGAAATATTTCAAAACTGCCCCAGTTGAAGCTATAACAACTGTGTGCGCATGCATGAAGGCAGCTGCCCACAAGGAGCCGTTCTCAGTTTTAGCACATCACTTCATAGGAAAACCAAATTTCCTACTCAACACTCATAGAATAGCTATAGCACTGGCAGAGATCACAGTGTTTTAGCTAGCTGGCATAACAAAAGCACTTTTCACTGCATTTACTTTTTGAGGTAGGAACAGAAGCCCAGTGAACATGAATGTATCTTAAGAGGCAAATCCAGAACTTGCACGGGAAGAAGAGATTTTCCTTTTTCACATCTTGCTCAGTTTCTGCATCCTCTCTTTTCTTATGAGGGAAAAAACAACGTGAAACACTACTGTAGAAAACTGAATCATTCAAGCCCATGAGCCCTCCGTCCCTGAAAAGCCCAAGTGTGATAAGTCTTTCTCAACTGCACAACTTCTGCCTTCTTACTGTGCAAGTGCCTGTGGCACTCGGCCATCCAGCCAGACAGCCATATGGCCTGAGACATGAAGCCGGTAGAACCACCTCTCACAAAACAGACTCTTCTTCTCATCACAGACTGAGTTTTACCATAGATATAACCCTGGTCTGATATCCAAAATGGGCAATATTAAAAGCTGGAGAACAAGCAGATTATTGCACAAACCCCACTCTTACCATAGAAAGAAACTTTTTTGCAGGAGAACAGGGATTCGCCTCTCCAGTGGAATGCCCAATATCTGCAGCTAAGTATGAAACACCTTAAAAGAAGGAAGTTCAAGGGCTTTTTTTTTCTTTTTTTTAAACAAAAGCAAGACGGGGAATACACTTTTACTGAAAGCTTAAATGTGATTTCTATCTATCTATGTGATGTATATTTTGGTTTGCTTTGTTCAGATAAAAGGATTTAGAAAATTCATAGTCTTAATACCATTGTTTGGAACAAGCCTTGACTTTTTAATAAAATCTCTTTTCTAACACCTCTGACATGCCCAGACTGCCATGATACAAAGTAAACCTTTTAATGCCTTGGGTTAGAGCTTATGTGATTACATAGATGAAAAACGTGTATCACAACATTAAACATCTACTAGACAAACAAAGATAGCACAAGCCAAATTAATCCCTTTTTTAGCTCTGCAACAGTTAATTTGATTTTTTATGAATCCAACACCACAATACCTGCACTCGGAAAGACCAAGATTATCTCGTTTTCAGGAAGTGTCAATCATCATTTAAGTTAACTTCAAAAATCTACATGTATTTTAATGGACAATCAAACACATCTTTTCTAATAACAACTATCATAACTTAATTTTAACAATATCTTACTAGATGACTACCACTGAGAATGTATACCACTATCGTTTTCTAAATTAAAGCAGAATGAACACCGAAGTGGAAAGCTAGTGGGACCATTTAACACACATGAACAGTTACTGAAAACCAGAAAGCTGCTTAGATATGAAACTCACTGCACTGGACAAATGTTACTGTAGTTTAAAAGAACTTGCATGCAATACCCAGCGGTGGTTGAGAAACTACAGGAAAATTGCCTTCTGGAGAAACAAACCCTTTAAATAACACCATTATAGAGCTGTGCCTTTGAATTTTTTAATGCATTTCTGCCTTTAAACCAACAGGTTGATTCCACTGCATACGCCTCAGTTCTTTTTTTCTCCATATAAATCACAATTCTTGCCAGGAATGACTTCTTGTCAGCTCATAAAAAATACATTAAAACCTGCTTCTTATTTTGACTCTTGGAATTTAATCATTTCCACTGTCAGAATTTCTTGGGAAACAAATGAGACACATACCTTGCAGGTCAAATCTGACCCTACACCACATTTAGGCTTTGTACCTTAGTAAGTCCACTAATGACTTGTGATGTCCAAGGGCACAAATTCAGGTCTTCATCTGTCTCATTCCAATTTGCACAAATTATGGACGCATTATGCAACTGAATAGTGTTTGCACAGGCTATTTACTATATTATTTCACGGACAAAGTACATGATTCTATGAAATGTATCATATTTACCCAATACATTTTTTGTGCATGTGTGGGGATATAACTTATTTTTTTATTCAGGTATTTACACTTTTATAATGCCAAGGACTACTAAAAACAGCTGATGTAAACTGAACTGTATATATGTTCATGCTGTGCTGGTACATATAAAGCAGTAAAATGATACTTGCAGATAAGTTAATTTTTAATGTGGTTTTGCCATACTGCCCAGCAATGAGAAAACATCACAGAAAAAAAAAAAGCTAGACAAATTACTGCATTTCCCTGCCTTTCTTTCAACTCACTGGCAGCACGATTGCATTAATTTATCACCAACTGTGGGGAAAGACCTTTTTCTCAAAGCCTCAGGTTCCTTGTAAAGGTGATGGAAGTCTTTGGAACTGCACATGCATGTGCAGTGAAGGCACCGTAAATCCCGTGACACTGGATAATGTCCTGCCTATTCTTTAGATGTGGTGTGTGTGCTCAGAGCAGCTGAGCAGCATGCATAGGGAAGGTGTCACTGCCAGCCATGCATAACGTACACACTGTGCCTACACCTTCAGGGTTGTGTGATAAAGGGTGCCAGAACTTTAGCTGCTTTCCAGTAGGTAGAGGGCACAAGCAACTGACCTGTCACATACTCCTGTCTCCATGTTTCAGCTCATCTCTGCTCCTGCATGCGTGACCTCAGCTAACCCTTTACTGAAGGGTTTAATGGCTTCTGGCATCTTCCACATAGCTGAGACTAGTGCCTGCAGCTGTACAGCCTAACTGTTGTAGGGCATGCAGGACTGATGCAGGTCAGAAAAGAAGCTATTGCAAAGGAGATGTTCCTGAACTTCACCCATTTGTTTTGTATTTCATAAATATAAGCATTGATTGCCTGAATGAAAAAAAATATTACAATATTACAGTCCATTTTCTTGTGGCTAAAGCATAGCAGAATTTGCTTTGTAGTTCACATTGCTCAATATTAATGAACCGAGGCAGTGTGCTAAACAACTCTACCCGGTGAATTACTGGAATGGCTACTGTGTTGTTGCAGACCATCAGGAATGATCAGGAAGATCTATTCGAGATAGGCTGCAGATGCAGTAGTAGCCTCTGAAAAAGAGGACGACTGCACGCAATTACTCTCCCTAGCTTATGTTAAGAAGTTAAAAAAAGTCATAAACAAATATTCCTTCCAGGCTTCGCTCCTTCAGCTTAAATTACCCACATATATTATGGTTGAAGCTGACAAACTGTTTGCTATGTGGGTGAGATACAAATCTCTCATTTCCTGAAACTGGTGCAAAGAAAGCATGAAAGTCAAGAAGAATAAAAAGCCAAATGGAGAGATCTTTAAGAACAACAGACTTTTAAGAGCAAGAGTATTGTAATAAAGTTTCTGAAGCTTTCACATTGCTAAGGAAGTTTGAGACGAGAAAAAGATCACCCACTGAGATACTCCCCAATGCTCTACAACAGATTATCTAATGCCTTCTTCCTCATATTAATGAAAGCAAAGCAATGTTTATAGTGTAATTGTACTGAATACCACGGAAGGCTTAAACTCAGTAAGAAGTGCATTTCCCATATATTGTTTTGTACCAAAAATATCAAGTTGGTGGGGGTTGTTATTAAGGAGAGTCACACGATGGTAGCTTTTCCTGTGATAACAACAGAGCAGTGTTTTATTTTCATTTATTAAATGTGATTACTTTCTCCCAGTCTGCGCAAAATAACACTACTAAAAAAAGAAAATCTAGGAAAACTCAAACAAAACCCAGCAATGACTAAACCCATCTTGATCTGTTTCCAATGATCCTAGACATTTGAGGTAGTCTGATAACACAGTAGCTACACTCCTTGCAGCTGCAGTGGCAAAAATTGTATCAGCAATTAAACAGTGCTCACCAAAAGCATTTTTGAAATGCCAAAGACTTTTAAGCTAATGAGCCCCTTAAGAGGACAATGGTTTCTCACCCTGCATACCTTAGTGGCTGTGGCAGTCTATGCCAGCTTGTCAGTACAAGAACGTCTTTTGGAAACCTCTGTCCAAGAGATGCATTGACCAACACTGTTGAGAGCAGAAATCTAAACTTAAACAACAAAAATGAATCAAAATCACAGTGCTTGCTTTCTGGGGTGATGGGAATCCATGCAGCTGAGACACAGGAAGAAGGAATACTGCTATTTAGATCAAGTCAATTTTTTGTTGTTTGGGCTTTGAAAACAACCTGGTCATACATGATAATGAGATTCCCAGGGCATACAAGATGTTGCTGTGTAGATAAACAAGAATTAAGAAATGGTTGCTAAGAAGCTCTATGAGGAGCTGCCCAATAGAGTTGATTTCTTGCTAATGAACACTTGACATAACCAACTTGTAAAAGGAAGGAAGCAACAAGCGGAAATAATACCTTCCTCAGCAGAACAGCTAAATCCAGGAGCTGCTGCCATTTCTTGGTTTCTGTGTTCATTATTTTGGTATGGTTCTGTAGAGTGCTGAAATGTAATTGATAAAATAGTGGTCTCACCACATGAAAAGGCCTGACAGCTCTATATTTTATTCCTTTTGAAAAATCTCAAACCCGCCATTTCACCTGGATAGAATAATTTACAGCACATTTAGCAAACATGGCAAAGGGATGAGCCAGTGAATTCATAATGATATATAATGGTGCTGTTACACCTTAAGGCTCCTGACAGAAGGTAAAAGAGGTCAGGCTCATTTCAAAAGGGTCATTTCCAATCAAAAATCACAATTTGGGCTAGATTCTGGGTTGACAAGAATTATCACAGATGGGGAACTTAATAGGAGTGTGAAATCAAGAAGTCAGCCTGTTTCTTATAAGTGAAGAAATGAAATAGTGCCACATGTATATATAATGGGCTGCATAACAAGAAACAGAGTAATGCTTAATGACCTGTTCCTGGTTCTTTTACTGAGTTGGCCCATGGACCTTATTTTCCCTAACTGCTTTTTTGAACATAATCCTTGTTTCTTGTACAGCTGAAAGAATAAGCCTGCTGGTTGCCAACAGCAGGGACAAAATTTGCAGCAGTGGGAAAATTAGTTCCCATCTGAAGAGTGACATGATGCAAGGCAGAGAGGTCTGTATCTGCAATGTCCTACTCAGAGATGAAGGCCTCTGCAGCTGGACAACCCCGTGGTATGAACTGATCCGAGACAGAAATAAAGGTAGGTGAGTCTCACCTGTTTTTCCTGAGGCCTTTATGGAAGTTTTGCTTTCTGTTTTCGCACAGATAATAACAATATTATACTTGGCTCTTATTGCAAATCTTTAGAAGCTTTGGGTCATTAAAATTTAATGACAAAGCATACACCTCAGGAACCTGTCTGAGCTCTGGTAAACCACCACAAGAGGTATGACTGTGGCTCTTTTAATACCACCCAACTTTATTCCGAAACATAAAGAACACTTGTTTCTTGTGATCCTAAGGGAACTCCTTAGGTAGAGTCACTTGGAAGTTGTCATTAAACTATGACCTGACCCAAGTAAATTCTCTGATTTCAAGATGTAGAGAAGTTGCCATTTAGACAACTGATGTCGTAAGTGACAAATATATCCCAATTTGTTCTTGAAAGGCCTTATAAGGAAAACCACATTTTGTATTACCACTCAGTCCTTTTCTTCAAGTAGCTCATGTGTGACTACAACTGAAATATGATCTAAAGAAATAAGGATAGTTTTTCCTAAGTCATAAACCAAATAAATTAATTTCTTCTTTCTTTACAGAGAAAACCAATGAGAACGTGACTTAAAAGTCACACAAAGTTTCTCCTGCTTAATGATTTAAGAAACAAACTCCCTAACCGTATGAGACTTCTTTTTTTTTTTTTAGTAAAGAAAACTGTAACTTTGTCCTCATCCACCATCTAAAGTGATACATCTGGTACTATTCTCCAGTTACAGTAGTTTTGCTACTAAGTTGAACACTTTTAATTAAAACTTAAGAACCACTCCGGATTGGTCACTTCAGAAGGAGTTCAAAACATACACACTTGAGAAACTAAGTGAAGGACTGAAGAAATACACTGTAAAAGGAAAATTTCAAAACTGCATTCACAAAAATCTCAATATTTTTACACCCCACCCTATCTTGTAAGCCTTACCTTCTGAGGAAGACTGAAACAGTCCATATTCCTATATGAGAATACCGTGCATTGCCAAAAAAAGAATGATACCTATACCCTCGACACATATTTTCTGGGGACATAAAAGGTAGCAGGCTGCAGAACTGGCAAATACTTCCCTATACTGAGGTGTCACAGCTCTTAACAGATTTGTCTGTGCCCTGTGTGTTGTCTGACAGGAAAGGCACTTCAAGTCTTAAAGCAATCACAGAGGCGAATGACAGGAGTTTCAATACTGGGCTGAACTCCACCTTCTGTATCTGTGAGGAACAATGAGCTCAAAGAACGATTTTTTAAATTATTTTTTCTATTTTTTTATTTTATGTTTCTTTAGAACTTCTCCAAGAAGTAACTAACTTTTGCATTGACTAGCATGAATGATGTATTAAACACAGCCTAAAACTCATTGCTTCCTCTTCATGGGGCATCAGGGTAACTGACTACTTTTATATCTTCCTTGTCTCTATTTCTTTGAGGTTTCTTTCCACAGGTTCAATCCATGGTGGTGTGAAGCACTTTTGTGTTTCCGATGTTGTAAATCACTGCATCCTATGAAGATTCCATAGGCATGCCTTTGTTATTTACGTGTAAAACACTGTTCAACATCAGTAAGATTATCAGAGCTGTAGGGTATTTCACAGCATAAAAGCTTCACTGCTGAGGCACTTACAGGAATGAGCACACTAAAAATAGCATCCCAAGGAGAGCACAAGATCACTTCTGAGGGACAGAACAAGCGGTATGTAACAGCTTAAGTACTGCAACTGAAGAGAGATTATCAAAGGTATTACCTGGAAAAATTTAAGAATCCTACTGTAAAATAATATGTACATGCGCAGTAGACAGGGCAGCAGTCAGCACATAGGGAGACAACGTACAGGGGAAGGACATGTGAAAATGTTCTCTGGCGGAAAGTGTTAATGAGGTTAATTTAGATGGGTGAATTCAGACTAACCTAAGGAACACGAGATGATCCTGCTGTTAGAGACTTTCGCCTGGGAAAAAAAACCTAATATTCCAAACCCTTCATGAATACTGATTTACCTTGACACACACAGAAACAGTAACCAGAGTATTGCTGACTGTGACACAGCTTTTCAGTAGTATGAATCTACTTGGGTCCTGCAAAATTTCAAGATGACAGAGCAAAAGCAGCAGAAAAAAAGTTCTATTTTTTATTTCCATTTATGAGGGTGACTTGGGAGACCTGTTCCCAGCATGGTGATCTTGCTGATAGACCTCAGTCACATTTGGTTTTAGCAGCATTCTAGTTAGTCTGGTAACATATGTTAAAGTATGTGGTATGGTCAACAACAGCGAGAATATTGCATTCTGAAGAAAGTTCACAAGGATGCCTGAAACTCCTGAACTGAGTAATAGTTACGGGTGAGAACTGGTATACGGCAAGATGGGGTAGGCTGTCCAGATTTAAAGGAAATTGGATGAAAGAAAAAAAAAAATAATTAAGAAATATTTTGAATTTCTGTAAGGTAAAGTGGTCCTCTGTACAACAAAATTAGTTCTGGCAAGAGTAAATTTATTTCCTTGCCACAGAAAAGGCTACTGAACAGAAACCTGAAAGTATGTGCATAGTTCTACCTTTCTTTTGGATTTTAAAAATTATATTAAACCCTTCCATTAGGCAAACACGAGCAGATCTGAAGATACCTTTACTATGCTGATAATTAACACCTACAGAAAGATACAAAAGATATCTAGGAACAGGCAGAAGCACGTATATTGTAAAGGAAATGAGCGAGAAGACATTAGTTCTTTGGCCTGGAGGAGGAAAAAGATCCTTTATCTTTAAAGTTCAGAGATGCCCGACAGGAACATTTCAACAGTCAGCAGTACACAGTTAGAAGTTTGAACCTGATATCCAGAAATCACAACAGGAATATAAAAGGAAGAATTTAAAAAGACTTCATATAGCGTGTATCCACACGTGTGCATGTGTTGGCAAACAGCACTGAGAGTTGCAGTATGACCCATTCACACCCAGACATGCTATTTTTGTTCCTGCACTTTGAGCAACTGCAAGTGTAGTGTGTGGGAACTGTTAATTTGGGAACAGGAATGATGACTGCTTTATGGAGTAAGATTAATTTGCTTTGTCACCTTTTATCTCACTGTAGCCCAATACAGGAATACCAACAAACGGCCATAATAAATCCAGCTTTTCCAATGACTACAGTGTTTAACTAAAAAAGTAGGTGAAAATGAAAGTCTTACTAGTCACAAGTGCTGTGTTTTCCAGCACTTGAATCTTAGCTCATTAATGTTCTATAACTTTTCCACATTACCACAGTTTGCCTTTATGAACTCAGGGATATTTTCAATACTGGTTTACACCATCTATTCACATACCCAGTGCACTGCTTATTCAAATAAGTATTTTCCTTGAACAATCTGAAACAGAAATAAATGGCAATAGAAAAGACTAAGTCTAGGAAGAGATGGAGAACTACCTGCTGCCAGCACAGGTTGTTTGAAAAAGGTCTTAAATCAGCAGCCATTCCTATTGCTATTTAGTGTGTGCACTGACAGGAAAATGTCTTTCTCTGCGGTATCATCATCATCATCCCCAAATTTTAAGTCATTAATGGAAAAACAAGGAGTTAAATACACCTTGAAAATCAACCCACCTAAAATAAAATCTGCAGCACCTTTAATAACTTGAGGAAACAATCACAACTTTACTTCTCAATCTTTTTTTGATAATGACACAAAAAAGCATGCATATTCTGATATATCTAAACATTTACTCACATTGCTCGATTCAATCCTGTACAGTTTTCTCCCAACATGTAGAGAGATAGTACAAAAGTAACTTTGAAGTAAGCATGCGAATATAAACTTGATGTTTGTATGTACCAAGGCCTCTCTCCACACACTATGTGGAAGTACAGTGTAAAGTATATGCAGATTACATTTCAATATTAAGACTTACACTGCTCATGATAAACAGCTTCCTTTTACAGACTGAGCATTTTACAGTATTTAAGGCAGCGTACCCATGACAACAGTTTCCTGGTGCCACCATGTAATGTGCAACTTTCTCAGGCAAACATACTCCATTATTCCATAGCAATTTGTGCTTTAAGCTCACAACTAATTAACAAAGGCAAGAGTTTTGTATATTATGCATCATGTGATTTCTAACGCAGTGCGTTAATTATATATATATTTTAAATGATGGGCACTTCAAGTACTTGCAACACAGCTGCAAATAACTTCCATTACCTGATCTTGTGATTTCTTTTTCTTCTTCTTCTTTCCCCAGCACCCTGAACTCTCTGTGTCTTTTCCATTGGCATCACCACAGAGTAATCCATCAAGTTCATCTGTTCCCATCTGCTGTCCCTGAGATGTTTCTGCAGCTAGCCTGTATGAGAGGTTCCTCAAAATGCACACACAGTTTTCCACGGTCTGAAAAGTATGACAAACGAACAAACAAAAACCAACCAAACAAAAAAAAAAAAAAAACACAAAAAAACACACCAGAAAAAAGTTAAAATCCTTCCCTTACTCACTCTGTACACAAAGCAGAAGAAACATCATCGATCTTTGCACATAAATTTACCCAGCACAATTCTTATCTGCTCATTTCTGAGTGCTCCCTAGATAACCACAGCTTAAGAGATTTCGAAATTTTTATGGAAACAAATCAGTAGTCTGGACAGTATTTTACCAGGAGTGTTTTTACTGTCATTCTCAATTTCATACTGGAGTCCTACATGAAACCGAAGCCGAGGTATAAAGCCATCAAGAGACCCTGAACACACAGAGAACGCCAGCAAAATCCCACCTCAATGAACAGAAACCACTCCAAACAGAAAGTGGCAACAGGTTCTGGGTTTGGTTTGTGTTTTCTTTTCTGGCACTAATTCTATGCCAGAAAACACAAAAATGCAGAAATCAACAGAAAAATTGGATCCGAGTTCTGTTTCACAAGTACCTGTAGCATGACCATACGATGCTTCTTGACTTCCAGAGATAAGACTAGATATGTCAGTCCTCCTGCTTTTACTGCTTCTAGCCAGGCTGCAGATACCTTGTGGGCAGCCATTCCTTCTCATCTATTTGCTCCCCTAACAGTTTGTGCCTTCTGTAGAAGACACTGGCAGGAATTCAGAAATGGAGTGAAACCCAGTGGAGGAAAATTCACTGATAATTCAATAGAATTTCTGCAAGTCTAAAATAAGCTCAGTTTATACTTATCTTGGGAGGAATATACTTCACTTGGGAGGAATATAAGGCTGCTGCTAGAGGATGTAGGAAGGCAGCTAGGAGGACTAAGGCCTCCTTAGAATTAAATCTGGCGAGAAGGGTCAAGGACAGCAAAAAGAGCTTTTTCAAATACATGGCAGACAAAACTAACACCAGAGGCAATGTAGGCCCACTGATGAACGGGATGGGTGCCCTGGTGACAGAAGATGCAGAGATGGCAGAGTTACTGAGTGCCTTCTTTGTCTCTGTCTACTCTGCTGCAGGCAGTCCTGAAGAGCTCTGTACCCCTGAGACCTTAGATGAAGTCAGGTCAACGGAGCAACTTGCCTTAGTCGATGAGGAATGGGTTAGAGATCAGTTGAGCAATCTGGACATCCATAAATCCATGGGTCCAGATGGGATGCACCCGCGGGTGCTGAGGGAACTGGCGGAAGTCATTGCTAGACCACTCTCCATCATCTTTACCAAGTCTTGGGAAACGGAGAGGTGCCTGAGGACTGGAGGAAAGCAAATGTCACTCCAGTCTTCAAAAAGGGCAAGAAGGAGGACCCGGGTAACTATAGACCGGTCAGCCTCACCTCCATCCCTGGGAAAGTGATGGAACACCTTATCCTTGGTGCCATCTTAAGGCACATCAAGGATAAGAGGGTTATGAGGGGCAGTCAACATGGCTTCACCAAGGGGAAATCATGCTTGACCAATCTCATAGCCTTTTATGAGGAAATAGCATGGTGGATGGATGATGGCAGAGCGGTGGATGTGGTCTACCTTGACTTCAGCACAGCATTTGACACAGTCTCCCACAGCATCCTCACAGCTAAATTGAGGAAGTGTGGTCTGGATGATCAGGTAGTGAGGTGGACTGCGAACTGGCTGAAGGAGAGAAGCCAGAGAGTTGTAGTCTATGGGGCTGAGTCTAGTTGGAGGCCTGTAACTAGTGGAGTGCCTCAAGGGTCAGTACTGGGACCGGTATTATTTAATATATTCATCAATGATTTAGATGAGGGAATCGAGTGTACTATCAGCAAGTTTGCTGATGACACTAAGCTGGGAGGAGTGGCTGACACGCCAGAAGGCTGTGCTGCCATCCAGCGAGACCTGGACAGGCTGGAGAGTTGGGCAGGGAATAACTTGATGAAATATAACAAGGGAAAGTGTAGAGTCCTGCATCTGGGCAGGAACAACCCCAGGTTCCAGTATAGGTTGGGGAGCGACCTGTTAGAGAGCAGTGTAGGGGAGAGGGACCTGGGGGTCCTAGTGGACGACAGGATGACCATGAGCCAAGGCTGTGCCCTTGTGGCCAAGAAGGCCAATGGCATCCTGGGGTGTATTAGAAGGGGGGTGGTTAGTAGGTCGAGAGAGGTCCTCCTTCCCCTCTACTCTGCCCTGGTGAGACTGCATCTGGAATATTGTGTCCAGTTCTGGGCCCCTCAGTTCAAGAAGGACAGGGACCTGCTGGAGTCCAGCGCAGGGCAACTAAGATGGTTAAGGGAGTGGAGCATCTCCCTTATGAGGAAAGACTGAGGGAGCTGGGTCTCTATAGTTTGGAGAAGAGGAGACTGAGGGGTGACCTTATAAGTGTCTATAAGTATATAAAGGGGGAGTGTCACGAGGATGGAGCCAGGCTCTACTCAGTGGCAAACAATGATAGGACAAGGGGTAATGGGTACAAACTGGAACACAAGAGGTTCCACTTAAACTTGAGAAGAAACTTCTTCTCAGTGAGGGTGATGGAACACTGGAACAGGCTGCCCAGGGAGGTTGTGGACATTCAAAACCCGCCTGGACACATTCCTGTGTAACATTATCTAGGTGTTCCTGCTCCAGCAGGGGGATTGGACTAGATGATCTTTCGAGGTCCCTTCCAATCTCTAGCATACTGTGATACTGTGATCTGAAGCTTCCCCATTTAGTTTGTTCAATTTGTTTTGCTATACCTAATAAGAAGGGTATGAGCTTAATTTTCTGGAGGCAGGGAAAACATGGTTAACAAAATCACCTGTATCCGTCTGTATTTATTTCAGCAATTCTTAATGCTTCCTGGAGATAAAAAACCATGGTCACTACATCCCAGCTCCATTAACCCAGAACAGAATGACTGTGAGGCTTTCAGCTCTGTCTTACTCTGCCATATTCACCAGTGAGGTAAACAGATGGAGCTTCATATACTGTGTGAGCTTATGCCAGGTATGCAGTTGGCACATAGTTTTTGCAATGACATTAAGTTCCAGAGATGATACTCAGACTGACTCATCTATGCAGGACTATTTTATTTTTTAAAACAGGTGAAATTTCACAATACACTTGTACTAATTTGACACCTCCAGCCAAATACAAAACCACATGTAGAAATGTGTGTGTAGAAAGTGTTCTTAGTACGTCTTTCATACCTGAAAGCTTTGCAGACCTCACAGTGACTATGTACTTTTTTAAAAAGTGTGATGCCTCTTTTACTCTTCCATACATGAATTTTATTCACTCTTGCTAACATTTACTTTTGCACAGCAATAGTGCACCAAAGTTGAAGCTCTGTGTTTGTCAATTAGGGCTGTAAATTTTAATTCCCCTTTTTACAAATAATAGTTTTCATACTTAATTCTCATTATGTTGAAAACAAATCAGTAGAGTCCACTGCAAGGACATTACCTCAAACTGAAAACCGACAGGCAAACTTTCAAGGCTCAAATGCAACCAACACCTTCTTCACTAAGGTGAAGGTTCTAACCATGCAGTTGGGCAGACTTTACTCCTTCTTGACTTATGCCTTTGAACTTTCCAGGGTCCTTGTATTCCTTATTCCTTTATCAGTTTCATCATAAGGGGACTAAATACAAGTTCACTAGTCTTTCAACCTTAATAGATTAAATTAAATTTATGACCAGCAACTGTCAGGTAACCATGTCTAAGTCTAATTTTTAACACTTTAACTTGAATTAGCATAGCTTTTTCTTACTACATATTAACAAGAAACAATGCTGCTAAGATGCTTGTAACGCTGCTATAATTTATGCACTCTTGTCATTCCTCATGTTGGTGAAGTTTTTAACGATGGCTCTGCATGTGCTTGCAAGTCTGTCATCCTCTTTCAGAGCCGTCGGGAGCAGAGACTAGTTTTTCAGCATTTCAGCTGTTAGTACAACAAAATTACCTAACAGGGCAATTGTCATATTATTTGGAAAACAACATTTATAACTTTACAACAAAGTTCAATTGTTTTGTTAAAATAGCACAGTTTTTGAAACTAAATAGCAAGTGATATGGAGTTAAATATTTTAATTAAATTACATTCTAATTTAGACAGGACGTAAAAACTAATAGGGCAGGCAGAATAATTTCTCACATTTCTTCATTTTTTCCTTCATATATGTCTTAGCCTGTAGTTTTTCCAAGTCATTTCAGATACGAATATAAACGGAATAGTTTAACAACAGGCAGCAAAACAGGAAGCTTACTGTGCTCCTTATTTAGCCTTTTTAATAGCAAAACAGTCCAGCCCCACACAGTACAAACCTCTTGTAATTCCCCTCTCTGTCCGCTAAATTCATAGGCAAATTTCACATATTTGGCTCAAGCTAATGATCAGAGAGTTCTCGAGAGTATCACTCTCCAATCTATATAACTCACAGAGGTCCATGGGCAACTATCTGTGAAGGATCACGTGGAAATACAAACCCAGTAGGCTTTAAAACTGCTGCATAAAAGGCTGCCCTCCATTGAAACTGAAATCTCTGATTCTTAGGGGTTTTCAAATGGACCAAGGTTGCTCTGCTGCAGCAATGGCAATTAATTTAACACCATATACTGAAAGTGAAAGGTATTTGAAGCTAGCCTTTTCCTTCTTTTTCTGGAATACTTTTTCTTCTTTTTCTGGAATACTTTAGTGTATTACAAACCTTCAGTTGTAAATGCTTGAAGTCTTTTTCATTAGGCAGTACCTTTTACCTTTGGAAAAGCCTGTCCATATCCTAGTACTTTCAGAGAAATAAAGTTGACACAAAAATACATCTTAAAACAGTTGTTACTGAAGGCATTAATTAATCCTCCTAAAAAAAAATGTTGGTTGCAATGCCAAACAGGCCATTAACTGTTAGTTGGTTTGCTCTGTAAGCTGACATCACTGTTACTAGCTCTGTCTCATACTCTGTACTGAAAAATCCATTTTAAGGTGAACCTGGCAGAGCAACATGAGGAACTTTACATGGAATATGACATATTTGCTCTTCTTAAATAAGTAGCCTCTATTCTCCCTTAGAACTGAGAGGATGACATGCTTACCTGTGCACGCTACAGGCAGACACAAATCCAATACTTAGCACACAAAAAAACACAGCTCAACAGAAGGAAAAGAAAATGATTGGCTGAATTATGCTTTGCTAAAGCATCTCCCTCACAACACATTTTTTTATAAAACAACCTGTCACTTTATAGTCCTGATGTACCCTGAATACCTGGATCCCTTGCACTTGAAAAGATAAAGATGACAAACCTTACTATCAATTTCACTGCTCCCCAGAGCAGACTGGATCACATACAGCAACGCATCCGTCAGGCCATCACACTCTCTCATTCTTCTGCGGGCCTCCTCTCCAGCAGAGCTGACATTCCTGCAAGGCAACAGCAAGGGTCACCACCTCCACAGCTCCCCTGCCCGCCTCCCCTCCTGAAACCTTCTCACCATTAACATTCAGATAAAATGCTTGTTTTCTGTTCTGCTTTCATCAGTTCAGAGCTGTGAATAATGAAGACAGCTGTGAATGAGCTCAGGAAATGTAACAGGTTGGGGAACAAATGGAAGTCATCAGATACTCCACAGGAAGGGGCAGAGAGGCCAAGCAGCATGTGCCACCTGAGCAGTGAGGCTCACAGGCTGCTAAAATCTGGAGTAAGGCTCATCGTTTTTCTTTTTCTTTTTTTTTTTTTCCTTTTAAGTTGCGAAAAAGTGTATTTAAAATGTGCATATGTACATATAAATCAGGCTTAAAAAGTCTAGGGGTTTTACCAAGGAAATCTCCTGGGATTTGAGTAGAGCCCAGTAGTTAGGGCTCTTAACCTGAGAGAAAAATACTATCAACGCATAACATAAACCACCTGGTGTTGCTTGCTTCTCATTTGACAAGAGTGTTTCCCTTTCTCTCTCATTTTGAGAGAACATTAATCCTCAATCTTCTCTTTACGTAGTTACTCACAGGTTGCTTTACATTGCAAAATTTAAAACCTCAGCCTATTATAGTAACTGTGCTCCTCAGAGAGGGCCAGAGGGCCTTGTCAACACATTGATAAAAACACAATTAAAACAAATTTACTGCATAACATGTGTCATGAAGTTCAAAATACTGCTATATAAAGAAACAAATATATATGGAAGAGCATACATAAACAGAATCTATACTTGCTACCATCAAATCTCCCTGACACATTCAGATTTGCACAGCAATTTTGATTTGGAAGTGGTTAAAATAGCAATCTCAGGAACGGGGTGAAACTTTTCATATAGCCTCCTTCAGTAGGGGAAGACAACCCTCTGGCATCAGCCCATTGCTTATGTCATTTTCATATGCCTTTGCATTAAGGATGGAATAAAGATGAGAAACCTCAGAGGGGAGAATGAATTTGAGATGGAGGCAGGTGAGACGACTAAAGGATAGGTTTCCTCTCAGTTTTTTTTTTTTTTTTTTTTTTGCTCTATCTACTTCAACCTGTTTGGCCTCCCTATAATCTAAAAACCAGAATTTCCATTCCCCCAAAGCACCAAAGAGTTTTCCTAATCAAGTAATCTTACAACTGGACAATTCCCCAGTCTCTCCAATGCAGGTTCCTAATTGATTCTGCTCCCTAAACACACATGATTTTCCATCTATACTTGCATCTCTACAAAGTTCTAATTAGTTCTGCTCTCCACACACAAACTGCTTCAATTAATTCAGTACCATTCCTTTCAACTCTGCAGCCAGCCTGACAAAACCCAGTCCTGGAGCACTAGAATGAATTCCTTTATTTCCTAGCATGAAAGCATGAACAAATCCATGCTTTCCATTCTCCTTGAGACTCCCAGGTTCACCACATATCATTACACACCAGAGGTGTGCCCTTCATAATGGCAACACAAGTTTTGTGTTGTCTTCTGGTCCCTGAACTCTGCACCTCCTTCCCCCTTCTCTGATGCTTAAGAGCAGCAGATGGGGGCTTTTTGTCCAGTTCATGTGGAAACCCTCTTCTGTCATACAGGAACTGGGGTCTGAAAAGCATCAACTGGAAAAAGTCTTTCATTGGCTCTCCCTTTGAAGTGGTGGAAACCTTCCAACTTCCCTTTGGATGACAGAAGTCAGTACGTAAAATTACAGTGCATGGTTTTCCCAAAACAGTGCCCACACCCCATATTTGCAGGGCTGGGGACTCTGCCTACAGTTTATTTTTAGTAGGCTATCTCCTTACAAAAGGCAGTAACTTCATGTGAAATTCCGGAAGGGCAGCAAATATAGAAAAAGCAAAATCATGGATATGAAAAGTGCATCGTGGGGTGGGCAGAAAAGGAGGATCAGAGGACTTCTTTCATTTGAAATTCTACTCTCCCACCTCCAGGAAGATACTTGTATCCAGCCCTAAGAGAATAACTGCAAAAATTACAATAGGAAGGTGCTGAGGAATTGTTCTTAGCGCACCCGCTTTCCTGGCACCGCTACATATATATCTAAAAAAGGAAATATTACTGAATCTTTTCCATCAGAACTAGATGCAACAGTCTGTACTGACGTAATGTGTCCAGGCTTCTTCATTTCTGCAGTTACACATACTGTGTACAAGCTTTCAAATTATATAGACTTACACATTAGCAGAAACAGGGAGAGAAATTCTTCACGATCTTTTCATTGAGGCAGTTTCTCCTTCGCTCTACCATGTGACCTTGACTCTCCAGAGCATGCAGAGGCTGGAAGCCTGTCAGTTCCTTTCCAGGTTCACCAGAAACTCCTCCTCACCAAGACAGCGATGTCAACCTTATAGTCCCTGAGCTGTGAGCTGTCTGCCTCATTCATTTCTAGCCAAAGAATAGGAGGACACTATACAAAGTAATACAGACACACTAGGCACGCATCTTGCACAGACAGTGTATTTCCTTGCTGTGTGTGGAGGAGATGTCAAATTCAGTTTTTCTGTTTATCATCCTTCTTATGCTCCTGCTGCTTCTGCAACCAAGAGGTGAGTATACCAAATTCCCATGACTGCTTTTCCTTTTCTTTTAAGTCTCTGTCTAGTTTCTGCACTGACTCAAATACTCCAGCCCTCCCCAGAACAGGCATATTTATTTACATGGGAAATAGTTTAAAACCCAAGACAAATCCAAACCTTGCATCACCATTTTGGCAGAAATAATAATAATTTGATTACTTAAAAAGAAATACTTCCTATTATCTTACTATTCCCATTCCACCTCTACTGATGGAATCATTGTTAACAAATCTTTCACAGAAGGTCTCTAATTTCATCCTGTTCAAGCTACGTACTTCTGTGAAACAGAAGCAAGCTCCAGACTATATAAGCTGTCAAAGAAAATATGCTGCCATCTTAATTTTCTTATTTCTCACTGTTAACTGGAACATGCTGTAGCTGTCAGTGTGACAGGGAGTAAGACATGATTTGTCATTTGTAAATTTACAGGTCCCTGTGCAAGCCTTAAACTGGAGTATTAGTAGGATCTAATGTTGGTAAAATGTCCCACTAAGTAAACACATATTTCTCCAGTGTCAGTTTCCAAACAAGTGACCACATTTTCTTGATTCTTGACGAGATGCAGAGATACAATGGACAGGTTTTCAAGAAAAAAATACTTTGCCATCGTAACAGCAGTCCAGCAAAACCCTGACTGCCTGGTAAATTTTGATTCTTTGTGGAAACTCTATTCACAGGGTATATGTGAAGTATAGGCTGATATTTTCAATCTAACTGGATGAGAAATACTTTAGAACTCTATACTCCAGTAAAATGAATTTCATCTGGAATCCAGTCACACAGGAATACCAAGAATACAGAGTATTGAAGAATAATTCTCAGCTTAGTCAGAAGGTCCCACTCAGACCTCCAAAAACGTGCAAACACAAATACCTTCTCAGGAGAACAACACTAAGAACAGATAGAACAAGAGCTCAGACCTATGTCTCATCAAACTGCTATTTTATGAACAAACGGAAGACTGATAATAATGTAGGAATAGAAAGAGATTACAGTAATCCAGCTTCAGTTTTATGGGAAGATATGTCACAGCTATCATAACTAACAGCAGGCATGATCCTCCCAACACACATTACGGGTGTCAATCCAGTGCTCTATGGGTATGAAGGAGCGTGCAGTATGAAGGAACGTGCAACACGTTCCTGATTCTTACCAACCCTGACATTTACCCTAGCAATTCAATGTAAGTGGTGGAATTTGAGTGGGTGGTGCCAAGTAATTTCCTTCTCCTTTAGTGTCATTTTGCACAGACTTATAGAAACTGTGGGAAGTTTTGAGCAAAATTCTTATGCCTCTAGGATAACTAAGCTCACCTGCCTTATCCAGGGAAGGGACATTAAATTCTATTGGAATATGGAAAGATCATCCAGAAAGCCAGTGTGCTTCCGAGAAACACGCCCTCTGGATATGGGAACATTTAGGAAGCTGTTGACATTACTCCCAGTGGCAGTTCAATAAATCTGAAAGACAGTGTTTAGCAAAGATGAAATGGAGACAGGTCTCTTCGTCAAGGCACCATGATAAAAACAGAAAGCATGTTTGATATCTAGTATATGTAATATTTTTGCTATGGACTGAGGTGATGTAAGAATGGACAAACACAAGAAGGACAATATCCTGTATCAGGTGGAATGCAGAAGTTTTCTTTGGCATAAAACTTCAGGTCATCCAAAGTACACCTTTATTACAAAATGTCTTGTCTTAAGAGGGACTAATCATAACAGCCTCAAACTTTTTCATCCTTCTACTTATTATAATAGCCATCAAAAAGAGATTTTTCATAGAAAGGGGGAAAAGTTTATATAAACCAAGAATTCAAAAAATTCCACCAATGTTGTAGAACAATGTTTATTTTTCTCTGAGGGTACCTTGCAAGGGAAAAGCCGTCAGAAGAGTATCCAAGTTGCAACTGATGTGCTAAATATTCATATTTAAAATACATGCATGAAAAATAGAAATACCAGTATAATATCCCTGATACCGGCCTCCTCTACATGTGCTCTTTTACATGCTGCCTATTTTTAATTCTGTCTGACTGACTAAACATTCTCTTTCAGGGACAGAGCCTTGTCTCAGCAGCAAGCTGGCATCTCCAGCACCACCACAGGCTGAAGTGAATGGTGATGATTCTATGAATTGGTCTGCAGTGTAGCAGATGATCACATAAGAGCTATTACTTTTTCTTGGTACTTCCAGCTGTTTCTATAAGCATTCAGGCTCTTTGGTGCATGTGTCTAATAGAGTAACTCAGACAGCAAAAAGAAACAACCAGCATTATGCACATATCCGACAAGTGTGCTCATGGTCATCATCAGTACCTTGACAACTACACAATTTTAAGTGCTTTTTGTAATGGAGTAGTCCTTGAGTCACACTGGCT